TTCTATAAACTGTGTAAATTCACTATTTAACCAAATTCTGTCTGTCTCATCATCATTATCAGCCCTTTATTTCGTCCACTGCAGGGGCTCAGGCCTTCCTAATGGATGGTTACGGAGCATGGGCCAAGACCCTCCACGCTGGCCCAATGCGGATTGGCGGATATTAACGACTACAAATACAGCCGGAACCAACGGCTCAACGTGCCTTCCGAAGCACGGACCTGCTCGAAATAACAATTTTTTGGTCACCCATCCCGTGACCGTCCCTTGCGAAAGTTGCTTAACGACAACGATCGCGTGCCGCGGCGCCTATCCACTACGCCACCAAGCTCTTCTATCTGTGTCTATCGCATATAATGTTAACATATTATACAAGGTTTTATAATTTTATATGCTTCGCGAGATGGGTGAGTTAAGTATTCCGTCCAACTTTTACTATGAGAGCAACACTGGATTCAGGGAAAAATAATCAACTGTTATAAAATACCTACAATCGCCAAAAGTATGAAACAGCTGATTATTTTTACGTGAATATAGTGTTGCTCCCATAGTAAAAGGTGGACAGTACAGTTACTCGTTCACTCCACGAAGTCCTGGCACATAATAATATTTTACTTTATATTTATCATTTTAATATTATTTAAATATATTCGCATGGATATCGTACTGTTTCCAATAAATTGCGGCATGTGGTTGAATAGTATCAATCGGACTGAGAAATGAGCGCTCCGTCAAAATAAATTGAACGAAAATATGAAGCGCTTACGAATCTATGGAGATGACCAGATAAGCATTCATTTTTTAGTTTTTTTTTTTTGTTTTCTTTTTTTGGAACATATGTATTTTCAAAAGATTGATTTGATATATATTATTTGATATATAAGTTAACAGAGATGATGACTGGGTAAAAAATGCCTTAATTTAACAAAAATGGCTTAGATAAATAAGCATTAAAGTTAAGTTGTAGGGGCTACGCTCACTACGTAGCTAAAATGTACAACAAAAGTGTGGTGACGTCATGCGAAATTTTAACTCGATCTATCGGTTCGATTCGATACAAAGCTAAAGGTTAACCTAAAAATATATTGCATGTTGTATCTTCGATCTTAATTATTATTTTTATTACTCTAATTATATGTGTTAATTTTATCTGGCATTCAGTTATAATCAGAATTATCGTTATAAGTTTTCATAGTTATGTACATTAGATATCGGGATATTAAATATCGGTAACTCAATAAAATATAAGGTACATGGTATTGTCTATTGTGTCCTTGTAATACTAATTGGGCAGCCTTAACAGTATATGGTTTATTATACATATTTATAATATCATAAACTATCCTTACTAATAAATATGCATTAATTAACTACTTGATGCGTATCTAAAAATATGTGTACCAATAAATAACTTTAAATATGGGTTTTTTTTTTATTATTTTGTTATTTGAAATAACAATTTATAAGTATTTTTTGCATCGTTTCAGCTCAACCGTTTTTTGTTCAACCGCATACAGAAATAATTCATAATATTAATTGAAGTATCGTCGACCGCGGACATAAAGTATGCAGGCATTCGGATACACTTGTTTTAATTGTGCGCACATACCTCTTCTATAAATCACTGTCATATCAACCCTTAGAAACGGGATAGAGGGTAGGTTAGAATAGGTATTCTGATTGCGGGGGTACAGTTACGTCAGGTTACCACGAAAAAAAAACAAATTTTACTAATCGATTCCAAACCTTAATCAATTGGAAATTGAGTTGAAAACTGATTTAATGATTTGGCCTTTTGTAATCACTCGATGGGCTGCTGTATGTGCGTACGGTCATTCATCCCCCCTTTTAAAAGGAATCTTGATAAGGGTCGCTTTTGATGTTATAAGATAAAAAATATTATATAAACTAATTTCATTTATCACTAGATGAAAAAAAATTAAGCATTTTCTTTTTTGATCTACATCTTTTTTTCTCAACTTGACAATCGCCAAGAGGGTTGTACGACGGTTTCGAAGTATCGTTACTTCTGAGGTCCCGCGTTCTCTATTAGAAAGGTTAATTTTCACGCGAGACAATAAGTCTTAGCATTGAGTTCATTGTTTTATATTACCATGATGGCTTTTAGATCCAGATTAAATATATATTATTTATTTATGTTTAATAAAAAACTATATTTTATATTTACATTAAACTTTATATTTACTTACTAGCTGTTTTCCCGCGACACGCACACGTTAATTATGGCTAATGGAAGCCGTGTATAATGTAGACCCATTGGCAAAAGAATCGATCCAGTATTTTCCTATAAACAATTACATGAGTTTTTTACGTGAGATATCATAGTATGAAATATGTCGGTTGCAAATTTTATCAACATTCAATTCAATTTTAATTCTATCAAACTACGTTGTCGATTTTGTAATTAGTTAATTAACCAGTAATGTAAATATTTTTATTAATAAAAGAATAAAGAAGTATTTTTGACCTTCATTATCCTGGAGCGTTTCTATAAATAGAAACGCCGAATATTATTATAAAAATCTTGGCAACCTACCGAAGTCTTTAAAATTGATATATGAATAGTTTTCATAGTGTAAAGAGTGGGGTCAAACGTACAATTTGAAGCCAAAACACCCCAAAATGCGTGGTGCAAAGATATTAACATGCGGTATTGCCTGCTGGCTCAATTGACCCAAATAAGTGTATAAGTTACAAACACGCGACTCTTATCCGATATAAATAGAACTATTAGCTACTCAGCTATTTGGTGTTGAACGTAGTAAAGCTAAGTGTCAGTTTAGATTGGTCGTATTATAAGGATTCGTTGATATAGTGAGGTTACAGTGAATTGGTATAGATGATAATGATTCTTATTAGTTTAATTAAGAAATTGATATAATTATAAAAACCTTACCTGTAAAAAGATATAAATAAACCTACATAATAATATTATAAGGGAAGATACCTCGCATAACAAAGGTTAACTTAATAAACTAAAGTATATCTATGGTAGGTTTAAAACTATCGCTTAATATTTATAAGGCAACTTAAAGATATTTTGCTTTTCATGAATTTTTACTTATTTTAGGCTACCGTCGTTTACAAGTTAAGTTAAGGTAACTTGAAAAAATCAAAGTCGCATTTTTTTATTCTAATTGATAGTAATAATACAATGCTTTTTATCAATATAGTAATTTTTCTATAGTAAAGTGCTTCAAACAGCTATCAAAAAGAACGGTATATCTAGAATGAAAAAAATAGTCATTTGAATAATACCAATACTAGACAATCTGACTATAATCCGTCCGTCTCGCGCTAAATGTGGGCAAATTTACTATTATTAGTACAATTTTCAATTAACTTGGTAATTTCATATTTTTATACAATGTATATGTATTGAACATAGATTTCTTAGAATTATATTTTGTATTATTGAAACATCTTATGGGTGCCCCTTTTAAAAGGTACATTGGCAAAGTAGTTGTGTCATAGTCATAACAAATGATAAAAAGAAGACGAGCTCGATGGCGCAATAGTTAGCGCGTAAGGTCTGCGATGCGAGGTTAAGCAAAGGCCGATTATGGATTGGGTGTCCAAAAAATTTATTATGTTGAGCGCCTCTCTGCTTCAGAAGCGGTCGATCCCATTGTAATTGTTCTCCAAGCTGTTATTAAAAATTGAATAGTCTACAGTGCTTTAGTCTTAGATAGCTCAATTTATTAGATGAGGTGTACGGTTTGGGAACAGTTAAGGGTTGTCATATCGGGCATTGACACTGACGAAGTGTTTCAGCAAGTATAAGATAAATATTAGATGACACAGAGATAATTCATGTTCTATGGGAATTTCTGATCAACGTTTATATTGTAAAGCGCATGTAGCGAAATTTATGTACCTATAAATTATACTCTTTATAGTTTTCATATTGTTTATGTCACTGGTGGACAATTATTATTATATATTCTCAGCGAGTTGGCTAGAAACGCAAGAAGAGAATTTTCAGTGGGATTCGCCATCTTTCATTCATTTCATTTTCATTTTACATGTAGAAATTTTTTCACTTGACATTGGCAGAATTGTGCGAAATGCGCAGGTAAGCCATTAATAGAAGAAGAAGAAGAATGTTCAGTGGTCTGTTAATTATATAATTTGTTTGAGTATTTAAGATGCGTTTAACTTTCAACATTCAAACCAACCTAGATGACGTTTACATTGTATATTTTGGTGAATTGAACACAGTAAGCAACTCCCAAACGTAGATCAGCAATTTGTTTGTTTGAACGCGCCAATTTCAGAAACTACTGATTCGAAATGAAACATTATTGTTGTGTTGAATTGTACATTTATTGAGGAAGGCTTTAGGCTATATACCATCACGCTTTGACTAATATGAGCGAGCAGGAATGAAAAAGTTGCAGTTGAAGTTACAAAAATGAGGCATCCAGGCGGACAGAAGCGAAATTGCAGTACTAGCACTCCCCCTTAAAGCATTCATAACTTAGGCACTGCATAAAAACTTAATTTCAATGACAATAGATAAAAAAAAAATTGTCTTGTTTATGCCATCAGAAAATAATATGATTTCTTATTGCTAACATCTGTTGGTAGGTTTATTGTAGAATAGATGTACTCTCAATGGGATTACACATATTAATAAAATAAAGTTATATTTATTTTATTTATTAATACACACCCGGCTCCGGGAACCATATTTTCCAAAGATTTTATAGGTGAAAGATTTATCAAAATCTCCCCTGTAGTTCCGCAGCCTATTTATTTAAAACAAGCAAATCTTTCCTCGATAAAGAATTAATACTGCACAGATTCCACTAAGTATCTGGCAAGTCCAAAATGTCCGGTATTTGTACATTCTATCTGTCAAAATTTGCTCGTGCTTCCTGCAGCCCTTGAGAAAGACCAGTAACTTTTTTAATGGTTGGTCCATTTCACATTATGCACGCACCTACTATAAAAACACTCGGCGACCAAACGAGAGCATTCAGTAGCCTTCGAGCAGTCTACAACAGAAGTGCACGATGAGAGTTCTGGTTAGTAAACGACCGAACTATAATATACGTGTTCAAGTTTATTAATAGTGTTTAAGTGATATCTTGTTGTGTGTAGGTTGTGCGTGAATGGTGAAAGAAATGTGTAGTGAAAGGAATATTTTCGGTTACAGATTGTCGCCGCCGCCGTCCTCGCTTGCGCCGCAGCCGCGCCCTCCGGCGCCCTGCTGGGTCATGGTTTGGGTTACGCTGCCGCCCCCCTGGCACTCGCCCATGCCCCTGTGGCCGTAGCGCATGCCGCTGCTCTGCCCACCATCTCTTCCGGAGACATCCAAGGTGCCGCCATCGACGCGCACGTTGACGCGTCTGACCATGCCCGCGCCGCGATCGATGCTGCCCGTCAAGCTCATGATCAACACTCCGAATTGGCCGGAAAAGCTGTGAACGCCGCTGAGAGCCACTCCTGGCAAGCGTTGGACGCCGTGAAGACTCATGAAGCTCAATTAGACGGACATGCCGCTGGTGTCGCCCCCGTGTTGGCTAAACAGCTCGCTGGACATGCTGCATACGCCGCTCCCGTGGTGAGTCATGCCGCATACGCCGCCTCCGCGGTGAGCCATGCCGCATACGCTGCCCCCGTGGTGAGCCATGCCGCATACGCCGCCCCCGCGGTCCACGCTTACGGCGCCGCTCCCGCGGTCCATGGCATCGCCGCCGCCGCGTACGCCGCACCCGCCAGCCAGACTGTCGTCACCCAATCTCTGACCCAGTCACATCCCAGTCCCATTGTCCACGCTCCCGTCGTCGCCCACGCCGCCCCAGTCGCTTACGCGCATGGCGTGCACGGTCTTGCCCACGGATTTTAAGCTGTGATAACTATTTAGATACCATAAATGTAACACTCAGTTTCGAATTGTATATAAATTAAATTTAAAAAATATACGGATGCAAATGAGGCGAGGTGTGTGAATAAATAAAATAGTAAATTAATTGCTGTCTTTTCCTACTCCTTTTTATAGCAATACTAGCTTTCCGCCAGCGGCTTCGCCCGCGTGATTCCTAGGGAACTGTTTATTTGGGTATCGATTCATAGCATGACACAGATATAATTACAAATTGAATAGTAAACAATGATTGCTATTATCATAGCATAGTTTTTCATACATATATTTTTGGTATCTTGAACCGTTTTCGCAGCGCATGCAACGGAAGCCCTCAAAGATGAATAATTTTCCACGTTTTTTTCCACAATTTCCATTATTTCTTCGCTCCTAATAGTTGCAGCGTGATGTTATATAGTCTAAAGCCTTCATCGATAAATGGTCTATTCAACACAAAAATATTTTTTCAATTCGAACCAGTAGTTCCTGAGATTAGCGCGTTAAAACAAATTCTTCAGCTTTATAATATTAGTATAGATTTATAAATATTTGATTTTATTTTTAAAATATTAACGTTAACGTCTTTACATTTAATGTTGGACAAAACTGGACTAAACTAACGAACTATGTGTCACGGTTTATATAATTATGAGGCAGTTTGTTTAAAACATATTCAATTTTTATTAAACGCTGTAATATGTAACATGCTATGCCCTTGCACAACAGCAAAATAATGACCATCTTATAGTTTTAATGTGACATGAAATAAACCACTTGATTAATTTGATTTACTGAACATGAATTTCAGTTACCTTTGCATTCTTTGTATTTAAACGTTTTAAGTTCTAAATTATTTAACCAAAACGTCTAATATTATAATGCGTGCTTCCTGTACGCGTAAGTGTAGACATAGAAGGTCTTGCATACTTGTACGACATGGTCACGTTCATACAAATATGCAAGGCTACCCGACAGAGTTCTACACACTTTAATATATGACTAAGTGCACTAAATTAAATATTACGAAATGCTGCATGTTGAAATCATTTCACACAATTTGATAATTGATTTATCCATTCAATATCATTTCTTTTATATGAGCTACAAGAACCCGAAGTGGAGTTTGGTTTGGTGCCGTCTTTACAAGACACAGGATCCTTCGACATCTGCTTTTATTAGGTCCTAGTAGCTGACCAGTCCTTATAAAAGGCATAAGAATAATTTTACCTGCATTAACAAAAGGGCTGTTACAAGAAGCTCTTTTAAATGTGAAAACTATGCAATAGGCTCATCAGTATATAGAAACCTCAAAATTGATTAATATATTATTTAATAACCTCCAGTGAAGGCCACTCAGTACAATGGCAGCAAGCCTCGTTAGTAATATGATTATATAGAACTATTATTCAATAAATCAGAAAAATCTTCAGGCAATCTTTTATTGTCTTAGCAGATTGAGTGGCGATAAAAGAAAAGTAACAGTATGAATATAACTTATTCCTAGCAAATTCTCGTATAGAGTTGTAACCATAAACATAATATTTTACAGAGATACTCGTAAAACTTTTATTGGTGTCCCAATTATAATTTCGCATAACAGATTAGGCCCTTCCTAAACTACATATACATAAATTAAGATAACCTAAGGTCCAAAACACTTTTCTTTGATCAGCAACTTATAAACTTATGTCAATCTAAGTGAAAAAAAAATAAATCGATCGAGTACTTTCGAAGCCTATTCAATGCAAATAAACAATAAAATAGATAATTTTGCTCTTTATATTGTTAGTATAGGTAGTCCAAATCAAATCAAAAGATTATTTGGGTGTCATGTTATTGGGTCTCATTGTAACAATGAGATATAATTATTTTTTAGGTATACATGTGAAGCCCTACAAGGGCATTGCAATATGTAGAGGAGAGCTTTATAATATAAACGACAATTTAAAATTAAAACCAACTCATAATCTAGTTATTCATTGCATTAAAATTAAATTAAATTCCATAAGATAAAATTACGTCAAAATAAATATTCTTAATGAAAAACGACCCAAGATTTTATAAAAACAACAAGTAAAAATAAATTAAATAATACGAGTAATTTTCTCTTCACATTTGTCTTCAAAAAATCTTTTATAATAAAGTAACATTTATTAATAAGATATGATTTTAGTTTTGTATTAAATTGTGTAGGATTTTCTAAATTTTTAAGCGATTTGGTATATGGTTATATCTTTTAATTAACATTGAATGGGAGCTGGATGTAACTAACTAAATGCATTTTAGAGAAGGGTACTTTTAGCTTATTTAAATTTCTATTGTTCCGTTTGTTGTTTAATTGGGGGGGTTAGATTTCTGGATGCCGGATACTATAGATAGATATTAGAGTTCGTATGTAATGTTTAACAAAGTATGGTCTACACGAGTCAATTTGGTCTATATTGGTAATAATTCTTATGCATTTCTATTGCAAAAACCCTATCCATATCACAGGAGTTTCCCCATACGATAATACCATAGTAAAATATCGAATGTGCGTACGCATAATATGCTGCTTATTCTGTACGTATGTCCGTAATTCGTTTAAGATGTTTGAGAGCATATATAAAAGAAGATAACTTACGAGATATTTTACCTACGTGTTGCTTCCAGTTTAAATAATATGTGTTCAGCTCCAGTCCAAACAGGTTAGCGGAATTGACAGTTTCTAATTTTGTATTATTAAAGTCCATTTAATAAATGTACGTATTTGTGTGAGTTACTTATAAATTGATTGAAATCCAGTGATTATTGTGTTTGCAATTTGTTTATATATATTTCAAATATAATATATCGAAGCAATTAAAAATATATATTTAAAAACCATACAATAATATCAAATAATCTTATTATTATTATATAAACCGATCAAGGAAACATGCCCTTCCTTTATCTGAAGTAGGAAATATGCAGTGTTTTTATTTAATATTTAAAATGCAACGTCATCTATAGGTTCAATCAAATAAAACCTACTTCAAAAGCTAACAAAGCCCTTATAACATGAAAACTTTATATCATCATCATCAGTCTATTAATGTTACCACTGTTGGGGCTCAGGCCATCCCATCGAATAGGGAGCATGGGCCCACCAAATGAGCCCAGTGTGGACTGTTGGGTGTTAACGGCTGCTGGGATCATCGGCTAAAAGTACCTTCTAAAGCACAGACGAACGCGAGATAATAATCTTTTGGTCACCGATCTTATGACCGGCCTTTCAATAAGTTGATACCTTCGCGCTATCGAGCAAATACCCGAGACATAGAGATAAGTAAAATTTTATATTGACACGATAGGAAATCGAATCCGGGGTCTTGCAAATGGCGACACCTTGAAACCGGTGTGCGAGCCACTCAGCCATGGAGGTCGTCAAGTACAGTAATGAATGACCTATAATTAAAATAATTTTGCGTACCTTGTGACGCAATATGGTATAAAAAAATAAATATATACATATGTACTAATTTATTTATTAAATGTGATATGATTGGTATTGATAAAAATTTATATTATTAAATAAATACAATTTTATTTTTTAAATTAATACACTAGTCTCATAAATCAATAACATAGTTTATTAATTTTACAGTATTAGAATACTTTTATGGATAAGAATGTAATCAAAGACTTAAACTATATATCTAAATATAATATATGTTTAATGTTATAAAAAAATAAATATTTGTTTGTTTGCCTTCAAAGGGCTTCGAAACAACTGGACCGATTTTACAAATTCTTTCACTTTCGGAAACAAAGGCTAACTTACATGGACGAAGTCGCGTGGAAACAATTAGTTAATTTATATACGACTGCTAGCTATCCGCTTCGCTTGCATAATTATTATGACAAAATCAATAAATATTGCAATAAATTTCACCACCTTATGGATTGTGTTTTTCTAAATGATTTCGGGAACTATACGTCACTAGTGTGCAAAATTTGAGCTTGATCATTTCCGTGGTTTAAGCTGTTTGTTAAAAAGATCATATACTTATTCGTAGATGATAATTAATAAAAATTAACCGAATAGATTTAATTAATGAATTCTAAAAAGTGCTATACTCATCACATAAAGTCCGAAATTTGTGTGGGCGTGTATTTAATCTGTCAAAAATCTGTCGCGCTTCCTGCATCCTTCCCGCCCTTGAGAGAAACCACTTACTTTTTTCACTAGCGAACCATTTCTTACCACGCATGCACCTACTATAAAAACACTCGGCGACCAAACGAGAGCATTCAGTAGCCTTCGAGCAGTCTACAACAGAAGTGCACGATGAGAGTTCTGGTTAGTGTAATAAACTTGTGTTGAAAATAGTGTGCTGTGTTCCGGTGATAGAAATTTTGCAGTGAAAGGAATATTTTCGGTTACAGATTGTCGCCGCCGTCCTCGCCTACGCCGCAGCCGCGCCCTCCGGCGTCCTGCTGGGTCATGGTTTGGGTTACGCTGCCGCCCCCCTGGCGCTCGCCCACGCCCCAGTGGCTCTAGCGCACGCCGCCCCTGTTGCCGTAGCGCATGCCGCTGCTCTGCCCACCATCTCTTCCGGAGACATCCAAGGTGCCGCCATCGACGCGCACGTTGACGCTTCTGATCATGCCCGCGCTGCCGTCGATGCCGCCCGTGAAGCCCATGACCAACACTCTGAACTGGCCGGACAAGCTGTAAACGCCGCTGAAGACCACTCCTGGCAAGCGTTGGACGCCGTGAAGACTCAAGAAGCTCAACTTGACGGTGCCGCCGCTGGTGTCGCCCCCGTGTTGGCTAAACAGCTCGCCGGACATGCCGCATATGCCGCCCCCGTGGTGAGCCATGCCGCGTACGCCGCCCCCGTGGTGAGCCATGCCGCATACGCCGCCCCCGCGGTCCACGCTTACGGCGCCGCTCCCGCGGTCCATGGCATCGCCGCCGCCGCGTACGCCGCACCAGCCAGCCAGACTGTCGTCACCCAATCCCTGACCCAATCGCATCCCACCCCCGTCGTCCACGCTCCCGTCATCGCCCACGCCGCCCCCGTCGCTTACGCGCATGGCGCGCACGGTCTTGCCCACGGATGGTAAACTGTTATAACAATTTAGATACCAAATAGTAGTACTTACTCCATTTTGGATTGTACATAAATTAATTTAAAAAAAAATACAGATGCAATATAGGCGAGGATGAGTGAGTGAATAAACGAAATAGTAATTTATTTGCTGTGTTTTCTTACTCTCTTTTTTATTTAAAACAATATTTTAGGTTGCTTATGCTTAGTATCTAATAAATAATAGATACATTTTATTCTCAGACGATTGTAATTGGTTTCGTTTTTCAAATGTTTTAGCATGTTACTTTCTTTGCAACTAGGCATTAAACACCTTGAAGCCAGCGTACGAGCCGCTCGAATAGAGAGGTCATTAAAAAGGTAACAAACATTCACACTTCTAATATGAGGCATCCATCATCACTTTAATAATAAGACCACTGTTGAAAATAGCCTTCTTTATAAATAAAAGAATGGGTTAATTGAAAAACAATGCGGCCCAAAAAGTTTGAGATTATAAAATTTTGATCAGTCATTGAATAACTGGCCGTTTATAAGTTCCCTGAACCTCCGCAATCGTAAACCGAAATAGTCGAATTATAATTTAAGATCTCGTTTCTTTGACAAGACAGATTGAAAATATAACTCTTATAGTTACAATAAGTTATAATTTATAACGGGAAAGTGTTGAATAGGTGTGTATGAAGATGGCGAACTTTGTCCATCTGTCATCATCCATCAAAAAAGTTGTGAGGGGAGATGGTTTATACACATATCTTGCTCCTAACAGAGCTTTCAGAGCGCATGGTGATAAAATAAAGTTCAATTTTCTTGTCGCACTATATCATATTAAAGTTGGCCATAAACAAGAAACACTGCAAAGAGGTTACTTGTTGTTTAATTTAAAGCGTAGGGATTTAGTCCATGCATGTTCGAAGTTTAAATGTTTCGTTAGCTTTTGAAACTAATCGAAAAATTCGAGAGCATAAAGAAGTCCACAGAAAAATGGTTACGCAATAATTCAAAAAATTGGTCCTGTACAACCATACAACAATACAACCATATTTTTTCGCATAATAATTTTCATTCACATATGACTTTATTGGTGTTAAAGTTGTGACAATAAAAGGACTAGAACAAAGTTGCCATGTACTATCTACATAAGTTATGTATTCTTAGCAATATTGGTCACCTTCCCCCACAATATCCTAATTCTCCTTTATTTTCATTTATGCCCGAACGATCGTAAGAGTAATTGCTACTTGGCAATAAGGTTGCATTTCATATACTTTGTTATAATTTTGTTACCATCCTGTAAATTATGGCGTCATAAATGCAGCTGAATAAAGTTTAATTAAAAGTAGTGTATAAATGTTTATCAGAATAACGCCAAGACAGACTGAGAAATTAGTAAACAATTTCTTCAAATATATACATAATATAAAATAAAATTGCTTCCCGCTGTCTGTACGCTGAGAGCTTTCGAACTACAAAATGGACTTAAATGAGGTTTTCATTAATACACAGAGTGATTCAAAGGAAAGGTGATAATATATGACCACACGGGCGAAACAGCTAGCGGAAAGCTACTAAAATATACACAAATATGTGACAAAAAATCAAACACCCGTACCACAGAAAGCTTATACGATCAAATGTCTGGCGCCAGGATGAGCTCTACTTTGCTATTCTTTTAAAAATACAACGTCAAACAAACAAATGGAACCGGTTAGAATAATAGTTGTCTAGGTATATATGGGTTGATATCATATACCTTATTGATTTAGAGTAGCTCGGTGGCGTTGTAGATAAGCTCTGCGGCCTGCGATCGTTGTCGTTAAGCAACTTTCGCAAGGGTCGGTCACGGGATGGATGACCAAAAAAATATTATCTCGAGCTACTCCGTACTTCGGAAGGCAGGTTAAGCCGTTGGTCCTGGCTGCATTTGCAGTCGTTAATACCCTCCAATCCGCATTGGGCCAGCGTGGTCATCATGGCCCCCTTAAGCATCCATAAGGAAAGCCTGAGCCCCTGCAGTGGGGACGTAAAAGGGCTGATGATGATGATGATTGATTTAAAATAGGTACGTATCGAAGCGCCAGCAAGATAAATAATAAAAAAGGTAAAATACCTTGTTGTACCTAATTCAGTGTCTAGTGATCTATAGACCAAGGATATCGATGACGTAGTGATTAGCCATAGGTTATGACGTCTTGTCGAGGAAGGATATATTTCGTTTTATTTTACAAAATTATGCCATGTACTTCAGTAACGATGAACGAACGTTAAAAAAAGTTGATTGTGGGTTTGACAAGTGACTAACTTAGTGATTTATTCCAAATTTATACACAAAAAGACATGTCAAAGTAGTAACGTGAAACGAAATATCGTCATAATATCAATGGCTAGAGTTAGTCGGTCGCAGCCCAGGGCTTGCGTGGTGAGTCATGGCTCATTAATCCCTATTTGTATCCATTTTATCCATAGGGAAGGCCTCAGTAGTGGGGACATTAATAGTCTGATCATGATCTCATATAATTTCACAGATTTGCTCGGCGACGCCAGTGAATCTGCTACCATTGGCATCCTCATCAAAACTGAGCTTTAATAGTGACGAAAATAACTTTTCATTGTCCAACAACAGACGTTATTAAGCATAAATAACATTCATGTTTAAGCAGATATTATACTTCGTTTCTTCAAAATGTTTTTTAACACAATGCGCTCGAGGCGAATTATTTGACAGCGCCGCTAATAAATTCGTATTAAAATAATAAATGATTATGTTAAATAATATCGTATGTTCCTAAACGGTCTACGATAATGTGGCGAATGTTATATTTACTCGTATTTATCCAGCTTTAGTGGTAACGTTTGTTCTAGGAGTTTTCAGTACATCATTAAATATGGTATGCCTCAAAATGAGATTATCGGAATAATAATAAAATCTTTATTTGCAGAAATATAGTTATACACGTTATTAACAATTTTTAAATGCCCAGCATATTTTTTTGTCAGGACCACGTGCAAATATTACAAGTCATACGTGTCAATCAAATCAACCAAAGATTAAATAAAAAAATAAAAATGTCAACATATTTCCAAAACATAAAGTACAAAGAGGGATGATGACTAATTTTTGTTTGTTTGTCCGTCAGGTAGAGTGTTAAAAAATACTAAACACGTAATTTTTTTTTTGTAATCATAAAATTACGGCCTTACATTGAGTTGAAATTTCGCATGACGTCACGTTAGAGTAAGTTTTCTACTCAACTGTGACGTAGCGAGCCTCCACTCCTTAACTTTAATGCCTGTTATCTAAGCTATTTCTTGTTAAATTGAAGTAAAAAAAATACGTATCTAATATTTTTCTATTATCTGACTGACGGACTAAATAGATTTGCATTTTTTTACCCAGTCATCATCCCTATTGTCACTAAAATTGAATAAAATTGATAAAAAAAAATTAATGTCAGTAATAGCATCTTTATCAAATAATGAAAGAATACAAACATGACAATTATAATTACAGAAAGTTTATATACCTACTAAATAAGCATACAGCATATTACCTATCTAAGCCATAGATAGGTAATATGCTGTATGCTCTCTCAAGTATGAAAAAAAATTATAAGAATTGCAAAAATTCAATGATTACAATAGTATTTTAGACCAAGATATTTTTTTTCCTAGGTTTATTTTAATCTTGACCAAGACATTTTTAAATTTATTTCTGTGTAGGTATATTTTAAGTAAAAAACACCATCTTTAAAAAACACAACGTCAAAAAAGATCATTCGAAATTAAAAAAAAATATTATGTGATTTTTTAAACGACCATGTTTACCAATTCATCGTAGACTTTCTACTGACAGTGACCCAATCGTATTCATTAATGTTTTTTTTCAATTAATAGCATTATGCCATATACAGAATATTCCAATTTATAATTTATTAAGCTAAATCTCTTTCCTTTTGCAATTTATTGAATGTTTTCCAAATTTTTATAAAATATTTAGAAGTATTTATCGCTTTTTAAGTATAATTAATAATGTTAAGTGTGTCATTGTACGGAAAGATTCTTAAATAAATTTGTGTTCGCAATTTTGTTTTATACAGTCAGTGATTAATATTATAATATTTAATTTAATATCTATTAGGAAACACTATAAGTTTTATCAAAATCGGTGTGTCATTTTTAAAGACAAAAAATTATAAAAGTCAATTATTTAAAAAAGGAGGAAATAAAAAATGTAAAGGAAGCTAATTAAAAATAAAACATATTAAAGTCGCGGTTTATATTAAAACCTACGCAAAACTTGCTTCGACTATAAAAGAAATTTCTTGAATTATTATGAGTATTTACTTGTATTCATATTTTTTCTACTTCGTTTCTGATTTGAGTGGGTTGATAAAAACTAGAAAAAACGTGACTTTGATTTACAATAACAAAAACAATATAGGCAAACTAAACAACGGCCTAGGGCCTTCGTATTTAGGGGGCGACATGACATGGCAAACAGATTAAGTTTATTATTTGAAACTTAATGCAGTATCAACCTAAAAAAATAATAAGTCTTTTATTATTTGAACTGGAGTCCACGTCCTAGGTATACAAAAGTACAAGATTTTCGACCAGCAGCTCGTCGTCGAGTTTATAACAAAAAAAGCATTGCTGTGAGTATTTTAATTACACCCGAGCGAAGCCAGGGCGGGCCTCTATTTATATAACACATTATTATTAATTATTTACAATCCTAACGTAAGTAGCATATGAATGTTGTCAGATTATCAACAATAATTATCTAATATTTATGATAATGATGTGGTGATTTAATATAATGTGATCAATTTGAATGTTTTATACGTATATAGCGAGTTATAATATTATTCGTATGAGTCCGTCATACGGGTTAATTTGTGTGGACCGCCTGTCGTGTTGGTTTGATTGAGATTTTACTGTGACAGGGTTAAGTATGGTATGTTACCGTTAACCATTTCATATTGAGTAAGTCTAATGTTAAATAATTGACGCATTTTCAATTTGAATTATCATAAAACCGAATTTGGTTAATGAAAATTTCCATGACCAATTTTTGAGAGTTTTTATTTAACCTACAATTACATACATTGTTCGGGTAAAATCTTTGAACTCAATTTTAAAGTA